CTCTCCAGCCTGATATATCAAACTTTTAATATATAAAATTATTTTAGTAAGAAAAATAAAACAAGCTGAGTGATAGTGTACATAGTATAACTAAAATTAATGACTGCAAAGTGAACCACTGGAACATACTAATTTTTAAATTTTTTACAATATAGCTCCTTTTAGATATTATTCTAACATTTAGAAAATCATTTTTTTCCCTTACCTTAAGTCATAGAACTATCTTATACCAGGAAAAACCAAAATGATATTGATTAATGAAACTGAAAGGGGGGGCATAAGAATTAGACTTTTATTTTGGAATACTATGTAAAAATGGGATTTAGGCTAATTTAGAACACGTCTGTCTCCCCCTGTCATAAACCTGACCACTGCAGCTGAAGGCAGTGTTTCAGGAAGACAAGCTTGGCCACACAGACAGGGGTCCATATTCAGGAAAATACTCATGTCAACACAGATCAGCAGAAAAGATTAGAGTAGCTGGTAAGTCAGTCCGTAGAGGACGCTCCTCAGATGGGAAGATGCTCAAGGAGTATGAAAAAAATCTGTATTTAAAAATATTCACTCTTGAAGCTTCCTAGTTTCTACTTACATTTCTGGGAAAACAAATGACAGCCTTTTATAATTGTATATTCAATTATAATACTCACACTATTCAACTGTGAGAAGAGGCAAGAAGAGACATAAAAATTTAAGACGTAATGCAGGAATTTCTGTAAGCTTCCTCCTCATTCTTGACTGTTCACAAACTTTGCACACAGCTCACTCAGTTCCAGCTCTGCTCCATTTCTCCAACCCCATGCTTTCAGTGCACGGTGAGAGAAATCACTTGAAAAGTTAATGCTGTGAGCAAATGAAATTCAAGAAAGCTTCAAACAGCTTTATTTTGGATGGAGCAGAGCTGGAAAACCCACTTATTTTACTCAGATTTCACGGAGTGGTCTTTCCTTCTTTGGGGATGTCTAACTTTCTTTGTCAATTAACTCAATATTTTCTTTGACTAGAAAAGCCATAGGGCGTAGAAATATGAACTGACGACACAAATTGTGCCCCAAGCATTAAAGCGGCAAAAAAAATGCTCCTTAAGAAAAAACAAGAGAATGGAAATCCCACAAACACACACAACAAATATGGGTTGGTATTTCAAGTTAGAACCAAGGAAAGACTATTATCTTTTTGAGGGGTTGGGAGGTGGTCCCTTTAGTCCCATCTGGCCTGGAACTTGCTGTGTAGACCAGACCGGCCGCATTACCACAGAGCTCTGTCTGCCTCTGCCTGCTGAGTGCTGGAATTAAAGATGTGGGCCACTGCATCCAGTTATGATTCACCCTTAGAAACCTAAACACTATTCAGAAATATGCTGTTTTTGAACAGAAACCTAAACTCTATTCAGACGTTTGTTCTGGTGTTGAAAACGTACTTACTCTGAACTACGGCAGGACATGCAAGCAGTTCACCTGATCCGACCTGCAGTAACTATCTGATCACACAGTGTACTTGTCTGATCACAGCCTGAAGTGTTGGTTTAGTTTATTGTTTGTCATGTCATCAGTAGTCAAAAAGCCCAGGTCAGATCAGCTAAGCGCCTGTCTGGATATGTGCAGAGATGTCAAGACCTAGGTGGGAAGACCCGGGAATTTGGCAATGCGTGGAGCACTGGAAGAAACACAGCTTGAGCTACCTTCTGTGATGTCTTTCCAAAGGGACCTAGAGGAGCGGACAGAAGTAAAAGGGTTCTGAACGCTGTGTCTTTTCAGATATAGCTGTACAACACGGGCATTTAGAGAAACATAGAACAAAGAAATTGTGGTCACTGGTAGGTTGCCCACACTCCAGTGGATCCCCCCCCAACACAGGCAGCACTAATTGGACTTAATGGTGGGGTTTTGGGTTGGGAGGGAGGTGGACAACATCTCCCTGTAGCCCCATCTAGCCTGGAACTCAATGTGTAGATCAGGCTGGCCTCTATCTCAGAGAGATCCATGCCCCTGTCTTTGCTGCCAAGTGCAGGGCTAAAGGCACCTGCTGATTAGTGGTTATTAAAGATAAACAGAAGAAAGCATGAAGTTGGGTGTGGGATATACAGTGAGACTTTAAGGGGAGTTTCGGGAGAAAACTGGGGGTGATATTTCCCTGTATACATGTATGAACTTCTCAAAGAATAAATTTTTAAAAATGAAAGGAAATTAAAATGGGCAATGACTTATCTAACAAATTCTCAAAAATAAAAAGGACACTATTCAGTAAGGGTAAAGGCTTGGTATTCATACCAGATATTAGGAGTGTGACTTTCTTTTATCATTTTAGTAATACAATTAATGCATAATAAATGCTAAAAATACCATTTAATACAGTAACATCTTTTCTATGCAGTGAACCTAAAGAAACACTTAGTGAGGTGTACCAAATGCTGTTCACCAGGGATTTACATTGTAGCCTTGTTCTTAGTTTTAAGACACGGATGCAACTAAAGTATGTATCAATAGGAAATTAACTGTAGTCACACAATGGAAACCTGCTACAGTAAGATATACATATGAGTAATGGAATACATAATATATTAAAGGCCCAAAACATACAAACACACAGACCAGAGCACTGTGCACATCACACTGTTAGAAAAACAGTGATGTACATAGACAGTAAATAGGGGAGAATATATATATATATATATGCCAAATTTTCAACAGTAATAATCTCTGGGATGGGTGGTTCTAACTCAATATAAATTCTTTCCAGTATATCTAACTTTTCTTTCTATCATTTCACCATTTATCTTTATAATATGACACAAAGAATATAGTGATTTTAATTTGGGAGCCATTGTACCCATTTCAATCTGATAATAAACATTAATAAAATAAAATATTCTGAGGTGTCAGGAAAATATTATGAAACATAGTAAATATCAATGGAATACTCCAGTTCTTTGTAATTTTTTAGATCCCCCAAACTTGAAATCTTTGTTAGGGTAGATGTCATGAACAACATCTGATGTCACTTAAAGAGTGAATAGCCATTACTGAAATGATTCATAATTAACTGCCAACTCTTACAGTGGATTCTAATTTGAAATGGGCACACTTCATTATATTATTGTTCTGAAATTCTGGTTAATTAAATAGTGATTTTAATGACTTTCAGTCACTGCGGTGCATTTATCTACTTAAAATTCGATTTTTCCTATTAGTAAGGCAGAAAGTCTAAAAGGATTATATCTTCTAAAACAAGATATGGTATGGCAATGCACACCAGTATTCCTGGCCCTGAGAGGCGGAGGCAGGAGCATCATGATATCCAGGCCAGCCTGGTACACCCACGGAACTTCTCAGGACATATCCCCAGTGGAAAAGGATCACCTACCACAGAGCGTGCAGGAATTCTTTAAGCCTGCTTGATTAAGTAGGTTATGGGAAGCAAATTCTATTTGCCTAGGTTTCAAATGTAAATGAAAAGTAGATTCCTATGGAAGTTCAGGATTCAGGGTTCAGGACTGGAGCAAGGTGCAGCTCACAGACAGGGCTCTGTTTGTGGGCTGACGGCCAGCACGTCTACCAGCAGTGATGGTGCTGGAAACAGGAGTGTGGAAGAGGAAAACATGAACCTTGAGGGCCATATAAATGACAGAAGGTGGCGTCCCCTTGCTCTGTTTAGCTCTAAGTGTTCTCAAATGGATACTGTGAACAAACACATCAAAATATTACTAATATGCAGTCCTGAAAAGATGTATTAGGTCTTGCAGAGAGAGAGAGAGAGAAAGAGAGAGAGAGAGAGAGAGAGAGAGAGAGAAACCAATTAAAAGTCATTTTGTTTCTCAATTTGGGGGGATTTTCAGACTACAAAGAGGAAGAACTGGGTTAAAAATAGGGAGAAAAAGCTGGGCGTGGTGGTGCACGCCTTTAGTCCCAGCACTGGGGAGGCAGAGGAAGGCGGATCTCTGCGAGTTCAAGGCCAGCACAGTCTACATAGTGAGTTTCAGGACAGCTGGTGCTACAGGAAGACCCTGCTTCAAAAAGACACACACACACACACACACACACACACACACACACACACACAAAAAAGAGAAAATTGAAAAGACTTCATTTTTACCAGGGTATAAAAATCTACACTAAACCACTACAACAAAACGGTTGGATTCAAACAATTTCAAAATTAGTTTTATGTTATAAACTTTTTATTGGCTGAAAATTCATTTCTGAAATGCAGAACAGCCTGTGAACCCAGGCTGAGGGCAAAGGAAAGACGGTTCACTGCTCTTTTCTGTGCTGGGATTTTATGACCAAACACATTCCTTTAACATTGTGATGGCAGCATGTGCGTAAGTGAAAAACACTGTCTTTTCTGGTCTTTAAACAGCTATAAATATTTAAAGAGTCTGTGTTAGGCAATGAGAGCATTCTGCCAGGTACAGTGGCGCACACCTGTGACCTCAGCCCTAGGGAGCCTGAGGCAGGAAGATCTCAAGTTTGAGGCCAATGTGGGCTACAAAGCAAGTTCTAAAAATATCCTATGCACTTTAAAAATTTTATCTACAGCAGTTGATTATGTAACACTGTTGTTTTTCTAGGGTTAAAGAATAGTTATAGTAACACCAACAGTAAGAAAAGTCAGAGTGTGTTTTTATTTAGGTCTGAAATAAAAGTGCCCAGCGAGATGGCTTAGGGGGTAAAGGTGCTTACCCCCAAGCCTGAGGCCCTGAGCTCCATCCCCAGAGCCCACTAGGTGGAAGGAGAGAACAGACTCCTGCAAGTTACCCTGTGACCTCCTCCACAAGCACACCATGGCAGGCATGCGTGCACACGCACGCACGCACGCACGCACGCGCACACACACACACACACATCCACAAACACACACACACACCTTGCTAAAATAAATACGTGGGAACTATTCAAAGGTGGTCCTCAGCTGCCCCCTGTCATTCCCCATTATGTGGCCCATGGCAGCACTGTATGTATTCAAACAAATGCTGTGGGGACTTTCAGAAGATGGCTCACCCTCCTTTGATGTAGTCCAGGAATGACACTTCTGTTTCCACCAAGAAAGAGAGTAAAGTTACCTAGAGAGAGATGGGATGGGAGGGAGAGGGAGAACAAATTACCTATCGTTATTAACTGTAACTCTAAACGTGGCCAGTTTTCCAACCATCTCTTTAGAAAATGATATTGATTTGCATTTCAAAAATGGCATCCAAAGAGGCATCATTACTTATTAAAACTGGACAGGACTAATTGTTGTACATTTAAAATAATGGCGATGGTGAGCTGACCCCTTCCTGTGACTGGGTTTCTTCCTTTCAGGAGCAGCATGAAGGTCATCACCAAGGACACTGTCATGTCCCACTGTGATGAAAAGAAACAAGGAAAGCTGCGGGAAAGCATCAAAACTAAAGAGCCTGAGTCACTGAGCTGCACTGAAGGGGAAACACACACTTCTGCCCTCGTGCTGTAATACGCCATCTAATATTTGAAATGTTATAACTGATAGCCATCTTTAAAAGGAAACTAGAAGAAAACTTACACTTTGCTTTGTTACAAGTTAGTCTTAGCAAACAATCTTTAGGACTTTCTTTTCTGAAAACAGGATGATGTGGATTCTTCAGTTTTCTGACATTTTCACAACTGTCCTCCCTCTCGATACTGACTTCCCCATGTAGGTGAAATCGGATGAGCTCCTTCATGTTCTAGAAGGTCAGTCCCAGGAGCTCAGTGTGTGAATGGAAGTTCCCAGAAAAAAGCCTCCGTCTTCAAACTGAATCTTTTGCAAGGCTGATCGGCTGATTAGAACTTCAAGGATTGTGGAGAATTTAATTACAGCTTATCTTTGGCTATGTTTAGCCACTTAAATTGCCATTCCTTACGCACCTCTGTGTCCAATCTAACGGCCTGTGACTAACAGATAAAAATCTTCTGAGCCGTTTCCAGCACCCAAAGCTAACAGTGTCATCGACAGTCTCTGAGGCCTACAGCGGAATTTTCCCCTTTGCCGGAACTTGCCTTTCTGGTGTCTCCACCAATGTCTTTGAAAAGTGTCTTCATTCATGACTTTGTTCTGTTACAGTAAATGCATCACAAAAGTGCTTCCACATAGAAACATGGTGTTTGGGAAGACATAAGTCTGTGTTCCCAGGTAATGATAATTCAGATTTGGCTTCAGTAGAAAAGTGTGACCCATTTGTCAGTGCCTGACTCAGTGCACTTGGATTGGAGAGAATAGAGAGGTCAAAACTGAGCTTCCCGAGGGGGCCTTAAAAACCCCAGGAAAGCCATCAGGAAGCCATAAGGAATTCTCCAATACAAACACAACCCAAAGAGTTAATGTTTCTATCAAACTCCTTCATTTAAAACACCAAGTGAAGCAGATCTCTCTTTTAAGTGGATTTTGGTTGCTACAATGTGCTCCACAGCTTATCGTTCACCAACTCGAACCCTTAACAAATAATATTAAATATGACTTACTGTTCCGGAGTTAGTATATTTTTTCTTTTTTCCTTTCTTTTTGGGATTCACCACCTTAGCAGATAAAACAAGTGAAATGAAATGAAGCAACTAAAATGTTAGGTTTTACACAGATTAAAAGCCATTGTATTCAAGCAGTCTTTATTCACTTTTACACAATCAGACCACAGACTATGACTCTTGGATCCATTTGTTTGCATTTTTCTGCTAAAATCGGCTATGCCATTTTTTAATAGAGCTTATTGCTAACACCCTTTCATTTACCTTATGTACATTCATGTGTACATGAGTATAGACATCTGTGTGAGCATCTGCCACGTGGGGCTGGAGTTATAAGCCACCAGACATGGGTGCTAGGAAGCAAACTTTGATCCTCTGGAAAGCAGCAAGTACTCTTAACAACTGAGCCATCTCTCCAACCCTCTGCACATCTTCTGGATTTGAAAAAGACCTATAAGATTATCTAAATAATAATAAGTGATAATAATAGTAATAAATGCTTTGAAAAGAATCATGACTTGTAACCTGATTATAATGGCACATCTCTACTTTTCCAGCCCTCAGGAGGACCAGACAGGAGAACTGTGAGGCTAGTCTGGTCTACACAGTAAGCACTTCCACTCTTCTTCTGAAGCCCTTCCTCCCCATCAGCCAAGTCTCTGCTTGCCGAGTCCATGGCTGAAGCTGACTCTTTCTGGAGCCCTTGCTCCAAGGACATGCCTTTCTGCCTTCTACTGCCTTCTCCAGCAGCTGCGGACATTGTCTCTCCATCTCTAAAATCACACATCTCCAGGTTCTTTTTGAGTCTGTTTTTAAATTCTTCTGTTACTGAGACCAAAAACCCATGAAAGTGTAACCTGAATTCTCTGGTAACGATAGATTGAATTCTTTGGTAAGACAAGATTTAGTTCTCTGATGAAAATACACTGAATTTTCTTTGTTCCATGAGAAAAGATTATTTACTCCCACATTGAACAAGACACTGAGACAGGGCAAAATGAAGATGACAAAGACCTGTACACCTTAGAAAATACCTAAGTGCTTTAAACAGCATTCCAGAAAAAGTAACTGGCCCAGAGTGACCGAAAGACAGGATGGATACAAAGAGAAGAAAACTTGTTTGAAAGCATGTTAAGAGCCGCAAGGTTTGGGGCTACTGCTCAGCGGTAGAACACTTGTCTAAGCATGCGCAGGGTCTGGGTTCTATCTCTGGCACTGGAGAAAAAAAAAAGAGAAACAAAACCAGGCCCTCATATACGCTAAGGAATTCAAGCACTGTTCAGTTGTGTCTGCGTGAGATGATGGTGTAAATGTCAACAGTGTGGGCAGAGGCGGAGGATGGGGCACAACACCGCCTCCACACCTTCAGCAGCAGCCTAAATGGGATTCACAGTTTTGATGCACAAAAACCTTTCAGGACTAGCCAGTATGAAGCAGAGGTTTAATAAGGATCTTTTAATTTAGGCTTCAACATAAGCGTTAACAGAAAAGTGGGTACTCAGAAGAAAGGCCCACCCTAAACACCGGCCAGGGCTTCAGGCTTCTGTAAGAGAAAGTTTCAGTTTATTATATTTTTCAATAGTCATATTTTTTCAAGTTACTATCTTCAAAAGGTGCTCAGAGGTGCAAATGAGATCGCAGGGTAATTCTTGAGGGGCACCTGACAGGGCAACAATTGATAAAGTAAAGCTAGATCACAGGGCTGCAGGAAGGTTGGATGCCTTCACTGTGAAGAGTCAACAATCTTGGATTCCCGGGAAATGTCTGGGGAAAGGAAGGAAGTCCTAGCCAAGGCCATGTATATTCGGTCCCTATGCCTGAGTCATCGCTAGTTTACAAATAAAATGTCTATATATGAATGGAATATTAACTCTCTGTCAGCAAAAATGTTATTAATTAGGCTGTAAATCTTGTTTCTCCCCTGCCTAGAGGCGTCCATCAGACTCTGGGACGAGGGACTCCCTTTCTTTCCCATGTCCACACAACTTTCCCTGTCTGCCTATCCTTCCTCATAACCAGTTCACAGGGCAGATTTCTGAGGAAAGAAAGTGGAGGCAATCATCAGGATCCGATTTTAAATGATTTGGGCAAGAAGCAGGAAGGATTAGATAAGCTGGAACTATTGCAGTGCTCACAAGAAACTTCAGAACTAAGAATAAACTGCATTTGGTAGAGAACATAGAATGGACATTGGATCCCTTATTCATTCAATGTCCTGTTTTTATGTTTCTATCATATATTTCAGAAATCCCTGATTGAGCATGTTTTATGTGAAAAACGTGTGGAGATGGATGCTGGCTGCTATTACAAACACACCACAGTCACACTAAGTATGACATTCAATGGTCCTGTGAAGTGGTGGCATAGGAGACAAAGCGTAGGGTTGATCTTGAGGTTTCAAGCATTCTGAGAGTCCTCAGAATTATTTAAAGAGCACAGTATTAAGTAATATATGAGAAATTGGGGAATAACATGAATTCACATAAAACTTGAGCAATACTTTCAACAATTTGTTTTGAAAAATTGAATTTCACTATTTTATCGAACACCATCCATCTAACATTCAGCATTTTGTTTAGAAGAAAAATTTTTCCCTCGGTTTGAGGAAAGAACTCTTGGTCAACCTTATTCTCATTTTCAAACAGTGCATATTAGTCTCTGTTCAGGGTAGCATACTTTACTACAGTCGCAGAGGGATTAATTAAGATGATGTGATTCTCATGGTTAAGTTACAGGAGGAATTGTCATCTGATCACATATGGCAGATTCAACTATCCATAAAACATTTGGTGTGGTAATAATACGCAAATATATTAGCATTCATTATTTATAAAAATCACTTTAAAAATGAACCAGAGAGGTTCTTTTAGAATGTGGAAAAAGAATCTAGAAAATCAGCTTCTCTACAGAAAGGCAGTAAGAATGGCTAAATAAATAAATAAAAATCAAATCTTGCTCAACTCTTGAGGATCATTAATTTAAATTCAATAGCATTAGAAAGGTCAGCTTTATAGTCAGAGTATCAGAGAAAAACAGTCTAAAAGCCTGAATAGACAAAGGGTTCATCAGTCATCTTCTTCAAAATTATGTCTAATCGACTTGTCTAAAAGCTTTCTAGAAAACCCTCATTAACCAGACTTCAATTTTCTTTATTTGACTTAATTCAAAGTTTGCTCAGTTGAAAAAGTTTTATATCCAAGCAGTTATTAGAAGCAGTCGGTGCCAACTGCTCAGCATCTTGACTATCTGTTAAAGGTGACTACAGATGCAGACAGAAAAAGGAAAGATTGAGGGAATGAGATCCTTTAGAGGCTTTAAAATGCTCAAGTTTGAAGTGGTGGCACAGTGATAATCCTAACTCTTGGAAGGCTGTAGCAGGAGGATTAGCATGAGTTCCAGGCAAGCCTGAGCTTCAGAGTGAGACGCTGTCTCAAAAAAATAACCAACCAAGCCTCACCCTAAAAGGGAAAAAGAAATAGCAGAAGGCTCCAGAATGTTGCTAGAAGCCCGTGCTGAGGAGGGACGTACAGATACCCCCATGTCCAGGAAGGACCTGGTCAGGCTGATACCCCAAGTTTTACTCTAAAAGCTAGCTATAGCTGAAGCAGGGTGTCCTGACATATACAAAGGTGTTCAAATAGACTACTGATCACTAAGTCAGCAAAGCCAAGACGTTCATGCATCACATGACAAAGAACACAAGTGGTTTTTTGTTTTGTTTTGTTATGTTTTTTTTTGGTGTTTTTGAGACAAGGTCTCCCTGTAGCCCCAGCTGTCCTGGAACTCACTATGTAGACCAGGCTAGCCTTGAACTCACAAAGATCCACCTGCGTCTGCCTCCCAAGTTCCCAAATGCTGGGATTAAAGCCTGGCAAGAACACAAGTTTTATGAAGCTAATCCACTACTCACTAAGTAGCAACAAACACGGACTCTGGGAAAGGTGGCTGCTATGATGGCTCTTCCAGAAACTCCGTTTTCTCAGTGTGGCAGTTAAGGAAAAGACCCTTCAAGCTCCACTTTGTGAACAGAACAGGATGCTTCTCGCTCCCCTGAGAAACTTCTATATAGAGAGGATGCTTCAGCAGAGCCTGGCCCCTTGACCTCAGCCCTCCCAGATCCAGAATTATGACAACTAAATTTCTCTTTATATTTAATCTTTTTAAGGTTTAATTAGGACTTTTGGTCAGAGATAGTTGTTGAAGCCATTGCTTGAAATCTTAGTATTCTGATATAGCTGCAGAAAGTAGACAAAGACACTGGCTTTTTATTATTGCTATATTATATTATCTAATGTTTCCGCCTCATTCAGCAAAGACACGCAAAGAAACAGGAAAGTATGCCCTATACATAGGAAAAAGCAGGTGGTAAGAGCTGATTTAGTAGACAACTACAGGTCGGCTGTTGCACACACAATCAAAGAAATAAAGTTAACAAATCTGAGGAGGAAACTATGAAATGATGCTTAAAAGAAATTATTAGGAAGTAAAGTGAAAAAGTTTTTAAAGTACCAAAGAGAAATTCTCAATGAGAAAACTTGAAAAACTAATATAAAAGACTTTCTGAGGGTTCCAAAGACAGGCTGAGACAGCAGAAGAAATTCCTGGAGATCTCCAACATTTCTGTGTTGAGACTTTCCAGGTTGAGGAACAAAAAGATAAAAGAAAAAAATTAGCTGAAGTGACAAGACCCGTGGGATGATAAGAACAATTTGAGTGCAATGAAAAAGCAAAGGGCTCGAGGATGGAGCAAATGCCTGGGCCCCTAGCCCTGGGCCACTAGCCCTGTGCCCCTAGCCCTGTGCCCCAGCCCTGTGCCCCAGCCCTGTGCCCCTAGCCTTGTGCCCCAGTCCTGAGCCTCTAGCCCTGGGCCATTAGCCCTGAGCCACTAGCCCTGTGCCTCTAGCCCTGTGCCCCTAGGCCTGTGCCACTAGGCCTGCGCCACGCTTGGGCTACCTAGCTCAGGCCTTCACTGAACTACCCCCACCCCCAGTGTTCTGGATGGAACCCAAGGCTTGCACATGTGAGGCAAGTCCTCTACCACTAAACAAATTCCTAGCTTTTGATGTTTTGAGACAGTCTCACTATGTAGTAGGGGCTGGCTTTGAACTCCTGATCCTCCTGACTCAGCCTCTTGAGTGCTAGGATGACAGTTGTGTGTAGCCATATCCAGCTTGACCACTGTTCATGGATATCTTAAACTGCTTGTACATAATATGTAATAGATCTCAAGGTCTGATTCATCCTATTTATAGGTGAATAAACGAACATTTACATTGAACTTGAAGTACAAACATACTTTCAAGTTATTTAATAAGAAAAATTCCCTCTTGAGCTTTCTTGCCATTTCATCAAGTATCACACCCAGGTTTCTCATTAAAGCAGACTTTGTTACACACAAGCGAGTGAGGACTGGCTGAAACCAGTAATCAGAAAAGGTTATAGAAGCTAAGGAAGCTTCAAGTGGTTGAGCTCTGTGGAGTCACAGAAAGAACAGCACTAAACACCCTCTAAGTGCAAGAAGAATTAGTATTTTTTTTTCCTCAGGCTTGAGGTCAGAGAGAGAAAACAGGGACTTACACATTTAGAACCTGTCTTTTATTATGATCAATGCCTATATATCTTAAATAACCTTTCCTTTGAAAGACCAAAATAGAAGAGATCATCACTCTGTCTTTGTGACTGGAATCTTTCTTGGCTGAGTTTAGCCTCTCTATAATTTCACGCCCACTTAGTAAATTACTAGTGGTACATTACTATTTAGAGCACAAATTAAAGCAATATTAAAAACATTTTATGTTTGTCTTGCCTATTAACATTGAAATTTTCATTCACATCTGTATGTGCAGAAGGGATGTAGAGCCCAATAGAAAATGTGGACTGAAGAAGGGACTTAAAATATTTTAAACGCTTGAGAGGCAGAGGCAGGCAGATCTCTGTGAGTTCAAGGCCAGCCTGGACTACACAGTGAGTTCCAGGACAGCTGGGGCTACAGGGAGACCCTGTCTCAAAAAGACAAAAAAATATTTTAAACAGTTCATAAATGAATGGTGTATGAATGGAGGATGATTTTAGTCCAGTAAGACACTGGGAGATAGGATTACTCCACACTCGAAAGAGGCCAAATTTAGCACCATCCTAGCAGGGTGAAGTACCACCATGGGTTAAATGTTGAGATACTTTCTTTTGCTTCCTGTACACACAAAGTTAAAACACTATAGAGAATGTACAGGTAACAAGGATTAAGGATCAGCAGTGCTAAAACATATCATAGGTTCAGCACTGAGTAACTGGCAAGTGCTTGAGGGCAGACAACTTCAGTGTGTATGCTGCAAACCTGGATGCTTTTACTGACTGCACATCAGTCTATTCAGCCTCTACCCTAAACAGATGTGAAGGTGCTCAGAGACACTATGCAGGCCACAGCTCACATTATAATATCATGCTAATACCTGAAAATGATTAACTTCTCTCTTTAAATAGGAAGTGGGTGGGGGAGGTTGATAGGAAATCAAAGCATAAAAGATGAGGCTTAAAGAAAATGAATTTGCTCCATACTGAACTTGCTTTAAAATAAGAAAATACTTCCAGGGGCTAAAGACATGGCTCAGTAGTTAAGAGCACCTGACAAGGCAGCTCACAACCACCTGTAACTAAGTTGCAGAGGTACTTAATACTCTGTTCTGTCCTCCAAAGTACCCACATTCATGTGGTATACACTCACAAAGGCACACACATACATGTAAATACAATAATAAAGTTTAAAAAAATCCTTAGTCAAGAATTAAAAGCGAAAAATAGGTTGTGTGACTTCAAGACCAAAGCAGGACCAAATGCCACATTTAATATGATAGATCACTTACAACAATATTACTTAATTGAAGAAACAAGTAAAATAATATCATTTAATCAAGTCAGCTCAATCAATTTAGACTCATTTTTATGTATATGCATACATGCACATACATGTGCCTGTACTTATTTGACCTTTGGCAATTATCCTTTGAAAAAGATGGCTCAGCAGTTAAGAGCACTGACTGCTCTTGCAGAGGACCAGGTTTGATTCCCAGCACCCACATGGCGGCTATGAACCGTCCTTAACTCCAGTTCCAGGGGAATCCGAAGCCCTCTTCTGACCACTGCAGCACTGCAAGACATGGGTGCACTCACATACATGCAGGCAATACACTCAGACACATAAAATTAAAATAATAAAATATTTTTTAAAAAGTTTAAAAGCATTAATGCACTTACTGAGGAGAGTCACTAGTAAAACAAAATCTTTCTTACCTCATATACGTTGAACTGTGACTGTCCTCTAGAAAGCTCCCTATAGCTTGTTGTAAATTCCCCAATGAAGTCATGACTGAAATTAAAGGAAGAAAAAGCATGTCACATAAGCTCTTGGTCATTTTTCATTTATATTTCAAAACATTTTGTCTAAGTATAGTTCATTATGAGAAAAGTTTAGTAGCTTTATGAGCATAACTTCATAGCAGAAATTTTAATATACTGATACATAATTTCACTGTTCTTTCATCTAAAATGAATAATCAATTAACAACCATCAAAATTAATACTTAAAAGAGAAATGATAGTTTTAATATTCATCTCTCCAACACATGACATACATATGATATCCAATAATCGATTCTTTCACTAAGTTTAAAAGACACTGAGACACCAGGCATGCCTTTAATCTCAGCACTCAGGAGGAAGGCAGAGCTCTGTGAGTTCAAGGCCAGCCTGGTCTACATAGGGAGCTCCAGGATAGCTGGGGCTACAGGGAGACCCTGTCTCAAAAAGGCAAAAAAAAAAAAGAAAAAAAAGACACTGCTGAGAAACTAGTGGAGGCTGGTGGAGTTTGCTTCTGAGGTGACCACTCTAATGTCTCAGAAGAAGGAAAGAGCATTATAAAACTGCAATGGTGATTGTCACTCAACAGAATTTAAAATCACCTGGGAGATGGCCCTCTGAGCATGCCTGGAGGGGGCATCTTGACTGTGTCAAGGGTGATGAGAACCACGCACTATGGAGGGCCGGGTCCTGGACAGTGTACATGCAGCAGGGAGCTGAGCCGCGCAGATCGCACTCATGGCTCTCTTCTTCAAACTGTGGACACAATGTGAGCTGCGGCTCTGAGTTCCTGCTGCCGTGACGGACCGTACAGTGAACTGTCCGCTAAATAAACCCTTTCTCCCTTTATTTGCTTTTGTCTCAGGATTTTTAATCACGGAAACAGGAAAAGAAACTAAAGCAGGTGTTGAAGCACTAAAATAAACACAAGGCGTGTCACAGTGGCTATTTGGATCCCAGAACATGCCAGCTGTTCATGGTCATAAAATGGATGTGGCGCACACACCACCCTTCCAGAGGACCGCAGCTTGCCTCCCAGCAGCTGGGAAGGTGGCTCACAACCACCTGAAATTCCAGTTCCAAGCACTTCAATGCCCCTTTCTGGCCTCTAAGCACACCCCAACACATGTGAACAAAAACATAAGCAGGCACACACATACACGTAAGTAAAAATTAAGTAACTACTGAACTCAGGTCCTCTGTAAGCATGAGTACTCTTAACTATGGTGCCATCCCTCCCCCTTAAAATTGCTTACTAAATTAATGTTTTTAAAGTATTACGTGTGTGTACATGTGTGTACACATGCACATGTGCATGGGTATCCGTTCCTGTGGGTGCCTGCAGAGGCCATAAGAGGGTGTTAGGTGTCCACCTCCATCACTCTTTGCCAATTCTATGAGGCAAGGTCTCTCCCTGGACCCAAAGTTTGAGTTTTGCTAGTACTGAAAGACAGGAAGCCCTCGTGACCTTCTTGTCCACCCCCTCAGAGTTAGGGTGATAAGTGCTTTCAGGATGCCTGATTTATGAAATGGGTGCTGTGAACCGAACTTGATTACACAAGACGCCCTCTTAGCTGCTGAGTCGTCTCCCTGGCCTGTTAACTTTTTGGACTGATTCAGTCTCTCTCCTGTTCACTATTATTAGATTCTACTACGACTCAAGAAAACTGAACTTGCTTGAATATTTTATCTGTTCATAATGAGCATTTCGATAATGCTGAAATGTTTCTTGCTACAGAAATACAGTAGAAAGTGTCTGAAAATAAATCACAATCAACATTGCATTGTGATTTGGTTACAATCACAAATCAAAATAACTGTTTTGGTGATTTCTATTCACTGAATTGTCACTAAATAATTATTCAGTGCTTTAATCTTCAGGTTCTCTGACTAGATTTTTAAAATAAAGTTTAGACCAGTACCTCTTACATGGATTGTGTCTGCTCACATGTATGTTTTCCCACATTTTAAAAATGCATATGCAAAGTCTGTGTGAATAAATTAATAAATATTTAGGGAAAGTTGGTTACTGCCTTAACTATTATTTCACTGTAGAAACTAGGTTTGCGTTGACTGGCTGAGGTGTAAAAACTATGTACTTGGAGAATTTGCTAAACAACACACCTGTTTGAGAGCCAGCCCTCACTGCCCCACTGTACCTCCTCCAGCATCATTTCCTGTCACTTTACAGCTTTGTAGTTCTCTCCCCCAAGAAGTTTCCTGCTCCATGTCCTCATTCCTACCTCTCAAAAAATAAAAGCAAACTTTAAAATACCCAGTCTCTCCCTATCAGTATAATCAACCCACACTGTATTGTTCGTGTCTGTTTATATTTTTCTCCTCAGTCTTTATCATTCTAGAAAAAAGAAAGCTGTAATTTCCCGTCTTCCCATGGATCAGCCCCAGGCCTGGTACACAGAGGACGTTGCTGAATGTCACAGTGCTCAGATACACAGTCATGCTGTGGTCCCAGCTTACCAAGAATATCAACAATTTTGCCTCATATGAACTATATTCCCACCAGGGACTATTACACTGTGATACGTTTCAGATGTGTTCAAGGATTTCTCAAATGAAGATTCATAAATTTCCTACGAAAAATAACGCCTCCTAATTTTGATGTTGCAAAGAGTTTTGTACAAAAACTGATGTGACTGTTACAGTTTGGATTTAAAATGTCTCCACAGGCTCAAACTTTGCTCATTCCCCAGTTTGTGGTCCCACTTTGAGGGGCCATCAAACCTTAAGAGGGTGACCTGGGGCTGGAGAGATGGCTCAGTAGTTAACAGCACTGGCTGTTGCAGAGAACCTGGGTTCAGTTCCCAGTGCCCACATGGGGGCTAACAACCCTCTGTAACTCCAGCTCCAGGGGAGCCAATGTGCTCTTCATGTCTCTGTGGGCATTGTAGGAAACAGGTGCATCCACATACATGCAAGCAGCACATTCATTTAAGTTGATTAATTTTAGAAAAGTTGACACGCAGCCTGACTTGGCTGAGGCAGGTCATTAAGGGCTGGGCTTTGAAGGTACAGCCCAGCCCCTGGTTCCAGCAGTTTTGCTTCCTGGCCCACTATACTGTGAATAGCTGTCCCTGTGTCACACACTGCTAACACCAGACCTATTCCTCCATGCCTTCTCTGAATGATGGACTGAAATCATCTGAAACCATGAGCCAAAATAAAGACTTCTCGTAAGTTATTTCTGTCAGGTACTGTGGTTGCTGACTCATCTTCTCTATGGGAACAACCTCAGTTACCTCCTCCGTTAATATTTAGTGTAATGATCACCCATGTTTTCCAATCTCATTTAATTTTTCAGTCCTAGCAAACATTGGCCTTTGAAAATAAGTGCTTAAACACTGAGCAGTCATGTAAACTGTAGACCTTTTCACTGAAATATAGTTAGGGCAGCTCTAACTAAATGTGGAGTTTCAGACTCGCTCCTGTTTAAGCCTGTGTTTATGGGATAGCAATGGTCTTTGCTCAGAGCTGATTGAAACCAAACCACCAGTTCTGTGATTACAAGTCAATGTGATTACAACCACATTGGGATTTGTGGTTGACCATGACTGTCACTAAGAATTGTTTTACTAAGTTCAGACAATATTTTTTGGCTGTTCCTGGTTTTGCTGATGTTGGTTTTCTTCTGGTCATAACACTCTGACTTTAACACTGCTTTGAGAGTTTAAGATTTTTAAAATGAGGTAACTCCCATTTTTACTGACTCTTATCAAAAGTTGTATTGAAAAATTCAGCCAAGTTTATTTTTATTTTTGTAACTTCCTGAAATTCTGATGGAGACTATCTGGACCCCTAAAATAGTGTCCAAATCATTTTAAGTCTTCCAAGATTAGGTGCTGGTCTGTATCTTAATCTACTAAATTAGCATGAATATGTTTTTGGTGGTGCTGGGGATCAAACTCAGGGTCTAACACCTGCTAGACAAGTACTCTACCACAGGACCACCTAGCCACAGTGAAAAGTCCTAGATTTCAGGAATATTCTGACAGAAAAGTAAGTTTTTCTTCAACAGTTCAGCAAGAGAACCAGGCTAATGCTGTCAGTCTCATCCACATCACCTCTTTACCCAGTTCTAATACAGATAGAAAACTTAAAATTATATTTTATACATATGTGGCATAACATATGTATAAATACATACACAACTGTGCTTCAGAGTTTTTAATTACATATAACATCTGAATACTCAGATATATTAATATTTAGAGTTTGCCTCTTATGTTACTGAATATTTTGCATATGAGTTTGATTTTCCCTTTATTGTGTCTGCACAAAGACTTGGACACCACATTTTTAAAATGAAGACAGTGATGCTTTTAACATAGTTTATAATGATACCGTAAATGACTCATTCATAGTGAAAGAAATGTTATCTATGTTTATCTATAGTTAAGTGAAAATTATATTCCTATACAGCCAGAACCAACTTTTTAAAGAGAAATCATAGCTGGGCATGGTGGCACATGCCTTTGACCTCAGTACTTGGGAGGCAGAGGCAAGTGGCTCTCTGTGAGATCAAGGCCAGCCTTGTCTACATAGCAAGCTCCAGGTCCGCTGGGGCTACAGGGAGGCCCTGTCTCTAAAAGAGAGAAAAGCATAAGTGTATTTATAAGGTTTCAGTTTTCAAATTGCGTATGCGTATGTATTAGACCTAACATCTCCCCTGAATCTCCTGGTCCTTATAGTACACATGCGCTCGTGCCCACTGAGGCATTTCTTCATCCCCCTCTCCAAATCTTTCATTGGACATTTATAATAACTGAGATCTACCCATCTGCCCTGGCTCCATAGTTTGACAGGAGCATTCATTCTATCTTCAGCAGCTCTTTCTGTCCAAGCTCCCTTTAGTTTATGTCTACGATGTGGGGGATCTTTACTCAGGGTTTCTTCTGTTTCCCTAGGCTGTCCTGCAAAGTGTTTTCTGGCGCTATGCTGTTCTCTTCATGATTCTTCTCTTTCAGTATCTGCCTACGTAAAAACAAAACCTTT